ATATATAATTTTTTTTTTTTTGTGACAAATGTGAGTGATCTGGATATGTTTTAGTGAGATCCACCAGGCTGGCTCATTCGTGAACAGTTTTAAGTCCGTACCTAGCAGAAGCAAACCCTGTCCGTGATGTTTGTCCTTCAGCCAATCTCCCTCATACAGCTCCCCGTTCTCATACTGCATCTGTCCCCATCCACTCCTCTGATCTTCCTTCCACTGCCCCTCATAGAAAGCAGACGGACTGTAGAAATATGTCCCAGCACCCTTTGAGCGAAAGGCCGACAATTTATATGTGGAAACTATGGACCGTATGATGACAAACAGTGTGTGATACTTACTTCCTTCTTGTCATTTCGCCAAGAACCAATATAAACCCTCACATACTCTTTGGTTTGAGGGTCAGTCTTGCTCAGGGTTCCATAGCCTTCTCTCTTTCCACACCTCCAGTCCCCATCATAGATCATTCCTGTTTTCTTCCAAACCTGTGTCCCTTTTCCTTATCAGAGTAAAAGCTACGTTCAGGAGCATTTTGTTATTGGAGGGAAAATCATTCTGCCAAATCAAGCTCTTTTGCTAGTTTTGATTGCTTCTATTGTCCTCATTTGTAAGTCGCTTTGGATAAAAGCATCTGCTAAATGACTAAATGTAAATGTAATGTAAATGAAAAGCAGAGTTTCCTAGGAACACATAGTGTAATGTAATCTGCAGAACACATCTAAATAACAAAGTATATTAAATTAAGGCTTGTCTATTAAAACTGCCAGGCTTCTTACTGTGATCCTCAAGGCCTGTAATGTTTAAAACATGCCATTAAATATTCAATCCATTAAATATTACCATGTTTCTTATTATCCATCCACTCGCCTGTGTATTGATCTCCATTGACAGAATACACAGTGTGATGCGGCCCACATTTTTGGGCTTTTTTGTCCCAGAGTTTTACAGGTGGTTCTGTAGTCTGGGGTCTCTTCAAGAAGGGCATACTGCACATAAAATATGATTATTATCATTAAAATATTAGTATCTGCCACTATAGTACTTTTTGTAGCACTTAAAAAAATGTAAATACATACAATAACAGATGAATATGGTAATCATAAAGTAGGCCTACTTAGATCTTACCTGTGACCACATTCACCATCCAAAACACTTAATTATATAATACAAAAATTATATTTAAACTTTAAACTGGTCGATCTCGACTGACCTGTCAAAAGAATTCGTGTACGGTAACCTAGCAACAAGCCTTGACTAATATTTATGTTCGCTGACGCTCCCGGTCATTAGGTGGCGACGTCATCATCGGAATCTTATGCTGGCCTGTGATTGGTGGACTGGTGAAGAAGCGGAGCTTATATAAATTGCTAGCGCGCCAACTAGCGGCAGTGTGCGGCAGTGCAGCGCCAGCGCAGACGAGTACAATGTCACTGGAGAGATGTCAAAGTGAATGGACAGAAATAGAGCAAGAATATCAGCAATTACAGGTTTGAACTGAACGGATGTGTGTTATATTTGTGCTCCGATAGCCTAAAGATGAATCTTGTGTTAGTTAGGAAGCAAATGCGTC